GTGGTTGTACTCCGTCTGAACCTACTAGTAGGCCAACGTAGTCCACCTTTGTCTTGCACCACTGGCATTTTGACAGTGAGATTTTAGCACTAGCAGTAGTCATTTGATTCAGAAAGTGGTCAATCTCAGCCAAGTGTAAGTCCAGTGTTGGCTGCCTCAAAAGGACATCGTCCACGTAGATCAGTGTCCCACGTCCGTGGGCATCTGGACATGCTTTGTTCAAAAAGATGTTGAACTCAGCTGGTGAGTTAGCATAGCCAAAGGGGCACCTGGTGAAGGTGTATTGTCGGCTACCAAAAGTGTAAGCTAGTTTGTGTTGGTCCTTGGCGCGCATAGGAATGGTTCACAAACCAGAGGCGACGTTGAGGATGGAAAAGTACTTACCATCGGTGACCTTGGGCAGTTCCTGTTGGATCTGGGTCATTGGCCACCTAGATAAAGGAACTTGTTTGTTTAGTTTTCTGTAGTCTATGGTAAGTCTCCACTTAACATTTGGTTTCAAAACTGGCCATAAAGGTGCAGAGTTGGTGCTATTACAATGTCTGATTATGCCTTTATATAAAAGGTCATCAATGATTTCCTTGACAGGTTGATGTGCTACTAGGGGAACCTTGTATTGTCTGACAAATGTAGGCGGTGAGTTTGGCGGAGTTGTGATGCTCACTGTGTGAAGCGAGGTCAACCCACAATCCATTGAGTCAGTCGAGAATGACTTCTCATATTTCATAAGAATCTGGTGGAGTTTGTCCCTTTCTTCATCAGTCGTCAGGGCGTCGGCTTGGGCGACCACCTGTTCAATCTATGAAGAGATTGCTAAGGGTTCTTTATGTTTGGGGAGCTCCAGTGAGTCCCTTTCTGTGCCGTTAGACCTGTCTATAGGTAGGACACTATAGGTTTGAGGTCCTAAATCGACATCATTGGTTGAGAAGAGAGCTATGGCCTGTGTTTGTTTCGTGAACCAAACTGGACCAGTCTTTTGACTCGATACCAGGTTGTCTGGGAGTCCTCCCAGAAATGGAATGCCAAGTTCAAAATCATGAAAATCTGTGGAGATCAACCATCCTAGCCTTGTGTTTCTCGGGATCAGTACCTCCTCTATACCTGTGTTGCACACAGCAACAGATGTGGTTCTGGAGTCGAGGCTCACTTGGCTTGCAGCCTCAATGGACAGTCCTAGTTTGAAAAATGTAGGAGATGGTTGAAAGTATGCCTGTTTAAGGCTAATAGCTTGTCCCGCCACAATGTGGACTCGTACCATTAGGTTTGTAACCTGAGGTGATACTGAGGTGTTTTGGTTGCTAGCAACCTGGCAGACCTCTGGAATGGTCTGTCCAGCCGTAAGGTTTGCTGTGTCTAGCACAGGAGGATCCTTTTTGGCTGGTTTTAGTGACCACAGCACAATGTGGCTGGTGTCCACTCGGACACCTAATCTTACCAAGATGTCAGAGCCTATGTAGGTTGCATGTGGTAAGTCTGGGACCACGAGGAATGGGTGTACCAGTTCCCATTGGTTCCAGATCAGTTTCAGGTTAATGACTCCATTCGCAGTCATCACGTGAACTGTTGGGATACAATGGAAAGTGGAAAGCTTTCTCGATCAGAACCAGACCCAAATGATTTTTAACCAATGTTTCATAGAAAGCTTGGTTAATAGCTGATTTCCAGGCTCGACTACTGCAACTCCCTGTTTACTGGAATACCCGGCAAAAACCTTCAGAAGCTTCAATATATTCAAAACAGTGCAGCCAGGATTTTATTGAGAGCTCGTAAATTTGGACATATTACACCCATTCTCCATAACCTCCATTGGCTTCCTGTCACCTACAGAATTCAGTACAAAATTGCTCTCATTACCCATCAGTGTTTATATGGAAATTCACCAGATTATCTGAAGGACCTTCTTGCTCCATATTCATCTACCCGGTCCCTACGATCACAGAACAGTCATCTTTTCCACCTGCCACGAACTAAATTAAGAACCATGGGAGATCGGGCATTCTGTGTGGCTGCCCCCCGCCTCTGGAAATCCCTCCCTGAATATCTGAGAGCTCCACAATCATTGACTGACTTTAAAAAAGGCTTAAAGACTTTTCTTTTTAAGCAAGCCTATTCTGTCTCCACATGATTGTATCATTGATTTTAGTTGTTTGTATCATTGATTTTAGTTGATTTTATCACAGATTTTAGTTGATTTTATCACAGATTTTAGTTGATTGTATCATTGATTTTAGTTGATTTTATCACAGATTTTAGTTGATTGTATCATTGATTTTAGTTGATTTTATCACAGATTTTAGTTGATTTTATCATTGATTTTAGTTGCACTCTGTAGCACTTTGAGATTTTTGTTAATGAAAAGTGCGTTACAAATTAAATTCATTATTATTATTATTATTATTTACCTGTCCACAGTGACAGTACAGCATCTTCGGTATGGCATCCTTGGATCTCTACACCTTTAACTACCAATGGTAGGTAGTATCCAGTGGGCTCTGACTGTCTCAGCTCGCAGAGGAGGCTTTCTTGTTCAGTCACAGTTGGGTCCACTGGTTGGGTCTCTTCGGTTTCACATGCTTTTAAAGGCTTACTTACCGGGACTGTGTTCTCTCCTGAGAGGTCCTCGGTGCCTTATGCGGTGCCTGCTGTTGGGCGGTCTTTGACTGTCTCAGGAGGCATGAGTATTGGCAGGGGTTTGCTCACTCTGGCCCACATTGTCTGTTCACCATAATCTATAATCGCCTCAAAGCGATTTATAAAATCTTGGCCAATCAAAAATGGGAATGAGTCAACCATTGACACATGTACCGGGTAGTATAGTGTCATCTCGCCAACCTGCATGTGAACCATAGCTATAGCTGTTAGGGTTGTCCTCGTCTCTGCGAGGCTCTGCAGTTCTATAGCACGTTCTATGAGAGGTATTTCCCTGTGAACACCGTTAGCAACGGTCCTGAGCTCCTCGAACAGTTTGGCTTACATAATAGTTATGTCAGCTCCACCGTCCAGTAGGGTTTCAGGTGTGAGGACCCCTTCAAGCGTGATCGACAGGTAAGCTTTCTTAGCGACCCCCCTTCTGATCAGGTTACACAGGAACCTTGTAGGTTCAAATCAGTATTTATGGACGGATTTAAAGCTTTTAACGTGGCGTCGCTTCCCAAGCACGCTCTGTATGCATGGACTCATGAGTTTAGGAACAAATGTGAGGGCTTTATTCAGCTTTTTTAAACACAAAGGAAGACTCTGTTAAAACGAGCTTCATTTCTGGGGTCACATGACTTTACAGACACGTGAACATCGGAGGTGGGTTTTTCGTACTGACACCAGAGTGAGCGGACGTACACGGCATTACGTCACTAGCTTCTCAGCGAATCAGAACGTCCCAAACAGCGGTTGTCGACCAATCACAGCTCATGTGTACTCGCCTTAAGCTAGCAGTTAGCATCAACAGTCCGGTCAAATTATTGCCCATCAAAGCTTCAAAAATGCACAAATTTACTGTGAAACGTAACGAATCAGCATAGTAGCAACTCTGAGATGGCGCTCAGCCCACAGACAACGTATCACCATTTAAAATACGACTCGTTCGAGTCAAGTAAACAGAACCAGGTCGAACACGCAGAACCCCCGGTCCACGCTAGAGTTTCAAACAGAATGAATGGGTTATTCCCACTGCTTACAGCTTATTACACAAACAGATTGACAATTTCAGCTTTAAAATGAACACATTGATGCAATTCTGCATCTTTCTGAACCCCACAGCCGTAAATCATGTCTGTACAAAGGTCAAAACTCTGACTTTTTTATGCCAACAAGACGAGTTATTTCACAATAATACAGGTCCTGGGTCACACATAATTTATCTCTTTAGATCCTCGTATGGGCCACCAAATATGTAGTGATGTAGGGACAGAGCTGAGTCAAAAGGCGAAGCTCTCAATTTACCGATCGATCTACGTTCCTACCCTCATGAGCTTTGGGGTGTGACCGAAAGAACAAGATCTCAGATACAAGCAGCCAAAATGAGTTTTCTCCGCAGGGTGCCTGGGCTCTCCCTTAGAGATAGGGTGAGAAGCTCAATCATCTGGGAGGGACTCAACGTAGAGTCACTGCTTCTCCACATCAAGAGGAGCCAGTTGAGGTGGCTCGGGCATTTGTTTAGGACGCCTCCTGGACACCTCCCTGGTGAGGCGTTCCGGACACGTCCCTCCGGGAGGAGACCCAGAGGAAGACCCAGGACACGCTGGAGGGACTATGTTTCTCGGCTGGCTTGGGAATGCCTCTGGATTCCCCCAGAGGAGCTGGCCCAATTGGCTGGGTAGAGGGAAGTCTGGGCTTCCCTACTTAGGCTGCTACCCCCGCGACCTGACCCCGGATAAGCGGAAGAAAATGGATGGATGGATGGATGGATGGATGGACCTTTTACTGGCTTCCACTGATCTTTGCCAATGTTTTATGTCCCAAATTGAAAGGGGTGGTTAATTCTCTCTATCTTCTGAAATGCAATGAACCTAAATGTTAAATTAACTGTAATTATACTGTATAGCACCTTTCTATCTTATCAAGATACTCAAAGCACTTTAGACTACAATATTTGCCCTCATTTACCCATTCAAACAGCACTCTACTATATTTTTTACAAATAATTATCAGTGCTTTATCACATTCATACACCAATGGGACACACATCAGAGGCAATGAGGGGTTCAGTGTTTTGCCCAGGGACACTTTGGCATGTGACTGCTCTTGGAATCAAACCCCCAACTCTCGAATTGGAGGAAGATTGCTCTAACCACACAGCCACAGCCACCCTTACTTGATGGCAAATAGCTTTAGAAATAAGGCTATAAAACAAGTGTAACACAGGGCTCCTTAATATAATGCCATTCTTATGCTAGTGTGATCAAGATTACCATCAAAATCAAACAAGCAAAAATTTTACAAGAAAAATTTGTTGATCACTGACTCTCTTAACTCTCAGCTTGTACCTGTTTTTCTGTACTCACCTGATGAAGTGGAAAATGGCTGATATGAAGAGCTCATTGTAGACAGCCACCGCAATGTATCGAGGCTCGTTGAAGGCTGAGGGTACAGTGCGGACAGCGTAGCACAAATACACCCCCCAGAGCAGGAAGAGGAACTCAGCTGAAACAAAAACAGAGTGTTGTTTAAAGGGATAGTTTAGCCATTTTGAAATGGATTCATGCAAAAAAAAAAATTATAAAGGCTTCAAAATATCCTGATAAATGCTCAATAATCCAGGTTGAAGAATATTAAAAAGTTCAATCTGGTCCTCTGGACATTCAAAAAAACAAAACAAAGCAAAACAACAAAGAAATGTAGAAACGTTTCGTCTTTCATCCGAAAGACTTCCTCAGTCTGATGTGCTGTATTCAGCTCAGTATTTTAAATAGCACCTTCTCAGAGTGGATCAACCAGTTTGCTGCTGACAACCATTTACAACGACTGAACTTTGCGGTTGCATCAAGTAGAATTCCTCTGGTGGAGATAATCACAGCCACAGAATCAGCCAGCCGTAACAACAAAATTAAATAGGGTGAAGAAAAACTCAGAATCAAAATTTCAGCCTGCCTCAGCAATGCCAAACCACCACCTTCCAACATCAGTAGAGAGGAGAGGGATGCACTCCCCACTCCTTAGCAAGGACAAAAACATCATCTTTCTCCCAGCAGACAAAGGAAGGTGCACAGTGATTTTGAACCAGAAAGACTATCATACCATACCACTTTATTTATAAAGCACTTAAAACAGCTACAAAGCCAACCAAAGTGCTGTACAGACAAAACAACAGGTAACACACAAAGCAAAATACAAAATGAGGTAAATCAGAATATAGACAAAAAACGATGCAGATAATGACGACAAACCAGTGTGGAGCATACAGGATCAAAACACAGATCATCTTGTGTTGAAAGCTATTGAATAGTAATGAGTTTTTAAACGGGACTTGAAAACCGAGAGGGAGGGGGCCTGTCTGACAAGCAGAGGTAACTCGTTCCAGAGTCTTGGTCCTGCTACAGAGAAGGCCCTGTCACCTCAGCGCTTAAGACGAGCTCCTAGAACTGTGAGGAGCAACTGGTCTGTCTCCGGCTGGGTGAGCTGTCTGTCAGATAAATTCTTCACCCACTTTTCTGTCTCCCTGGCATGTAATTGACTACTGGAGTGTTGTCCTACACTGAATGTGTTGTTATTAGAATAATGATGGTGTTGATGAGTTATTAGTAAGTTAAACTTATTTTGTTGTCGAGTCTTGGACTTGACATGCTGTGCTAAGAGTGTCTGATCTGTACAGTCCAACACTTGCTGAAGTGTGGTCTGATCTAGACACATAGTTAGTTTCTGTTTAATGTGCTCTTCTTTGGCCTTCAAGGCCTCAATAGCAAAATTGGTCTGTCTCACCCGTTCATTCAGCAGCTGGGTCTGTGCCTTCTGAAGGATCTTGCTTGCCCGGTGCCTGCTGACCGATGATTTTAGTTCCAGGCTCTTGGGAATGATGCCACTTTGTCGACATCTGAGGTTGAATCGCAAGATGTTCCTGTAGTCTGCCCTCTTCCTTGCTGTTTTCTCAAACTCTCTTACTAGTTTGAGGCAATCCTGGTCAAAGTGATTCAAATATCCTGATGCATGCTCAATAATCCAGGTAGAAAAATCCAAAAAAGT